AAGAAAAGCCAGGCGCGGTGGCTCAAGCCTGTAATCCCAGCACTTTGGGAGGCCGAGACAGGCGGATCACGAGGTCAGGAGATCAAGACCATCCTGGCTAATACAGTGAAACGCCGTCTCTACTAAAAAATACAAAAAAACTAGCCGGGCGAGGTGGCGGGCGCCTGTAGTCCCAGCTACTCGGGAGGCTGAGGCAGGAGAATGGCGGGAACCCGGGAGGCAGAGCTTGCAGTGAGCTGAGATCCGGCCACTGCACTCCCGCCTGGGCGGCAGAGCGAGACTCCGTCTCAAAAAAAAAAAAAAAAAAAGTGAAAAGAAAAAATGAAAAACCACCTGCAATTAAATTACTTAGAAAGAACCATCCTGAACATCTTGTTTTTCCTTTTAGTCTTCTTAGCGATAAACATATGATATAAGGTTTATATTATCATATACCTTTTTACAGGCATCAAGACCGGCGTGGAATTAAAAATGAGACTGCCCCAGGCACATCTGTAGGAGTGGGGTCTTGACCTGAGCATTCCATCTGTGGCTGGGACAGAAATGAAAGATTCAGTGCTGCCCCAGCAGGTGAGTCTCAGGGTCTAAAGGAGCGCCTTTCAACCAAGGACTTTTATCAAGGAACAATTCGCAATTCCAGCACAGGAGTATTTTTTGAAAACCTATCTCTCTCTCTTCCTTCTTTCCTTTCTTTCTTTCTTCTTCTTCTTCTTTTTTTTTTTTTTTTTGGTTAGTTTCAGATATTAGGTTACTCTCTATGCGGAAGTTTACATCTTTAGTAAAAACAACATTTTAAAATTCTTTGATATAAAAATACTGGGAGACTGGGCGCGGTGGCTCACACCTGTAATTCCAGCGCTTTGGGAAGCCAAGGCCGGTGGATTGCCTGAGGTCAGGAGTTTGAGACCAGCCTGACCAACATGGTGAAACCCATCTCTACTAAAAATACGAAAATTAGCCGACATGCTGGTGGGCGCCTGTAATCCCAGCTACCTGGGAGGCTGAGACAAGAGAATCACTTGAACCCAGGAGTAGGAGGTTGCAGTGGGCCGAGACCGTGCCACTGCACTCCAGCCTGGGCAACAAGAGCAAAACTCTGTCACAAAAAAAAAAAAAAAAACAAAAAAAAAACCCTGGGAATGCCTCTCTGCAAAATGGATCTCTGGAAATGTGTATTTCATATTTAGAAACTGCCAGCATTTGGAACACCAGGACATTTTCTCAAGCACATGTGAAAATACATTGTCAGCTGGGTGCAGTGGCTCACGCCTGTAATCCCAGCCCTTTGGGAGGGTGAGGCGGGCAGATCACGAGGTCTGGAGTTGGAGACCAGCTTGGCCAACATGGTGAAACCCCGTCTCTACTAAAAACACAAAAATAAGCCGGGCATGGTGGCATGTGCCTGTAATCCCAGCTACTCAGGAGGCTGAGGCAGAAGAATGGCTTGAACCAGGAGGCAGAGGTTGCAGTGAGCCAAGATCACCCCACTGCACTCCAGCCTGGGCGACAAGAGCAAGACTCTGTCTCAAAAAAAAAAAAAAAAAAAAAAATGCTTTGCTGGGTTTCCCCACTCAGTCTATTACCATTAGGTCATTCGCTTTTTGTCCAGTCACATTTCTACATAGCTGTCCATTCTTCAGAGAAGCTAAGCATAAAAATAGACACTTTTTTCCTGAGTCTTTCAATCTTCCACTCTGAAGCCTCCTTTGTCAAATAAAACTTTGACTAGATAAATTTGTTATGCTTTTCTCTTGTTAATCTGCCTTTTGTTATTGGAGTGTCCACCTGACTCTTACTATCAGGAGGAAAGGGATCACACCCTCTCCGCCCCTACACAGACATGCAAATTTTTGAGCCCCACGTGTGAATTACTGAATCAGAAATTCTGGGGTGGGACCCAGGAACCTGATTTCAACAAACCTTCCTGGGGATTATTATGCATACTAAAGTCTGAGAGCCACTGGCAGGGAGGGGGAAGGGGAAAGGCGGATAGAATGCTTTCCAGAGGATATAGGGTTTTGCCATTTCAATAATTCTTTATGGATGTTCCTCTCCAATAGAATAGCTATAAGGAGCATTCCTAAGAAGAAAAATGTACTAGAAAATCACTGTGCCACCTCCTTTTTGTGTCTACCCCTTAATCAGGTCATTGTTAAGCAGATTTGTCAAATTATTCAAAGCAGGTTTGAATAAATGTGTTGTACAGAGACTTCAGGGGGTTTATTTATCTGCATTTTGGCAGGATTTGCCCTGTGGCTGGAAAGATTCAGATGCGCCTTCTTTCTTTCTTTCTTTTTTTAGAAGGAGTCTTGCTCTGTCGCCCAGGCTGGAATGCAGTGGCGTGATTTTGGCTGACTGCAAACTCTGCCTCCCGTGTTCAAGTGTTTCTCCAGGCCCAGCCTCCCTAGTACCTGAGATTACAGGTGCATGCCATGACACACAATGCTCGGCTAATTTTTGTATTTTTCATAGAGACAGGGTTTCACCATGTTGGCCAGGCTGGTCTTGAACTCCTGACCTCAGGTGATCCGGCCACCTCAGCCTCCCAAAGTGCTGTGATTATAGGCATGAGCCACTGCGCCCGGCCCCCAGATGCGCCTTCTTTCGTCACTTACTTGTACTGTTGTTCTTTTTCACTTTGGAAATGTAAAGCCTTCTATTAAGTATAGATGGTTACTATTCTCAAACAGCTAGGTAGATCAGAACAGAAATACCACACATGATTCTCAAATCCTCCCGGACAATCCTTCTCATTTCCCTGGATGACATCTTTTCTTACTTTTGAGATTTGTAATCAGACAGCCTTTCTTCCTCTCCAGGCTCTGCCACTTAACTAAGCTGTGATCTACAAGTTACTGCCCTGCTCTGAACTTCAGCTTTGCAGCTGGTTCCATAGCTCAGGGGTTAGGGCACTGGTCTTGTAAACCTCAGCTTCCTCATTTATAAAATGAGGACTTGAATAATTTCTGTCTCATAGGATTAGTTTAAGCGTTAGATAATGTTTATTTATTTATTTATTTATTTATTTATTTTTTGAGACAGAGTTTCACTCTTGTTGCCCAGGCTGGAGTGCAATGGTGCAATCTCGGCTCACTGCAACCCCACCTCCCGGGTTCAAGTGATTCTCCTGACTCCCACTCCCAAGTAGCTGGGATTACAGGCATTCGCCACTATGCCCAGTATTTTTAGTAGAGATGGGGTTTCACCATGTTGGTCAGGCTGGTCTCGAACTCCTGACCTCAGATGATCTGCCCGCCTCAGCTTCCCAGAGTGGATTACAGGTGTGAGGCACCGTGCCTGGCCGACAGGGTCTGATTTCTAGAAAATCCAGATCCTGAACACACACCCCCCACATCACATACACACACAAACTAAGGTCCCTTGCAATCTCAATCACTATTTCTGCAAAAGTCAAACTCACAAGAATGAAAGCTACACTCCATTTTCTCCATTCGTTTGTATGGTTGGTTCTGCACAGACATATGAAACCACTTCACCCTGCAGAACTGATCTATTTTCAGTGCATTTTATTTACCTGCATCCTAAGGACCACCTTCTTCACGGGATGAGTCACCTCTGGGTCAGGTCCTTTTTATGTTTGAGATTTGAAACCAAATAGCTTTGTTCCTTTTTAGTTTGTGCCACTTTCTAAGCTGTGTACCTAAGGCATGTCACTTACCCTCTCAAAGTGTCGGCTGCTTTATACATAAAATGGGGGAATATGTGATGTAGCTATCATCATAGGCCTGAAATGTCCATTTCAGTTCTTACTAGTCTAAGCCTTCTCTAGCCTCTGCTCCATACTCTCTGCCAAGGGTTAAATCTCTATTTTCATAAGATGCATCTGCTAGGGAATAAAATAGCCATCAGAGCCTAACTGCTTTTGGATAAGGTGGACTTGGAAGGGTTAGAACAGGAGCAGGTTATTCTCTGTCGATAACTGTCCCTTTAACCTGTTCTGTTGACTTGCTTTGTCCTGACCCCAGAGGAAATCTCAAGCAGATCCCAGAGCCTTTCCAGTCTCTCTTGCTTACTAACAAATAATTACCTTTTATTTAGGTATTTAAAAATCCATTCTCGGACAGCCACAGTGGCTCATGCCTGTAATCCTAGCACTTTGGGAGGCCAAGGCAGGAGGATCTTGCTCTCTTTTTTTGAGGGGGATGGAGTTTCCCTTTTGTTACCCAGGCTGGAGTGCAATGGCACGATCTCTGCTCACTGCAACCTCTGCCTCCCAGGTTCAAGCCATTCTCCTGCCTCAGTCTCCTAAGTAGCTGGGATTACAGGCATGAGTCACCGAGCCCGGCCTTCTCTGTTTTTTTTTTTTTTTTTTTTTTTTTTGAGACAGAGTCTCGCTTTTATGCCCATGCTGGGGCACAGTGGTGCCATCTCGGCTCGCTGCAAGCTCTGCCTCCTGGGTTCACGCCATTCTTCTGCCTCAGCCTCCTGAGTAGCTGGGACTACAGGTGCCGCCACCACGCCCGGCTAATTTTTTTGTATTTTTAGTAGAGATGGGGGTTTCACCATGTTAGCCAGGCTGGTCTCAAACTCCTGATCTCAGGTGATCCACCCACCTCAGCCTCCCAAAGTGTTGAGATTACAGGTGTGAGCCACCAAGCCCAGACCTCTCTGTTGCTTTTTTTTTTCTTAAGACAGAATCTCACTGTGTCACCCAGCCTGGAGTGCAGTGGTGCAATCATCACACCTGGCTAATTTTTTTTTGTATTTTTTAATAGAGACGGGGTTTCACCGTGTTAGCCAGGATGGTCTTGATCTCCTGACCTCGTGATCCGCCCGCCTCGGCCTCCCAAAGTGCTGGGATTACAGGTGTGAGCCACCACGCCTGGCCATCCGTGTTCCTTTCAAGAGGAGCTGCTAGGATGCAAGACCTGTAAGGCCATAGGCAGCAATTCTATGTGCCCAGGACAGCTCAAAAGCAACCCCTATCAAATGTTTACTCCCCTAGTTTACCTGCATCTGAGCGGACTACCAGCGAAACCATGACCACCAGAGACCTCTTGTCCACATTCAGCCACCGTGGACAGCTCCTGACAGCCTCTCACCTTTTGACACTGTCATGCTTGAGTCAGGTGTCAGATCCTAGGTATCCCTAAACACAAAAGTCAAACTTTGAGTGATTTTTATTTTATTTTTTATTTTATTTATTTATTTATTTTTATTATTATTTTTTTTTTATAGAGAGTCTCGCTCTGTCACGGCCCAGGCTGGAGCACAGTGGCCGGATCTCAGCTCACTGCAAGCTCCACCTCCCGGGTTTACGCCATTCTCCTGCCTCAGCCTCCCGAGTAGCTGGGACTACAGGTGCCCGCCACCTCGCCCGGCTAGTTTTTTGTATTTTTTTTTAGTAGAGACAGGGTTTCACCGTGTTAGCCAGGATGGTCTTGATCTCTTGACCTCGTGATCCGCCCGTCTCGGCCTCCCAAAGTGCTGGGATTACAGGCTTGAGTCACCGTGCCCCACCTATTTTTTTTTTTTGAGACAGAGTCTTGCTCTGTCACCCAGGCTGGAGTACTGTGGGGTGATATCGGCTCACTGCAACCTTTGCCTCACAGATTCAAGCAATTCTCCTGCCTCAGCCTCCTGAGTAGCTGGGATTACAGGGGTGTGCCACCACGCCCTGCTAATTTTTGTATTTTTAGTAGAGATACGGTTCCACCATGTTGGCCAGGCTGGTCTCGAACTCCAGGCTTCAAGTGATCCGCCTGCCTCAGCCTCCCAAAGTGCTGGGATTATAGACGTGAGCCACCGCACTCAGTCTTCAGTGATTCTTTAAAATTCTCTTCTCTTAGCTGAGGTTAACAAAATGGCGACCCCTTCTTCTACCAGAGTGTGAGGCTGGTTGTGTGACCACGTAAGAGCATAGTCGGAGGCCGGGCATGATGGTTCATACCTATAATCCCAATACTTTGGGAGGCCAAGGCAGGCAGATCGCTTGAGCTCAGGAGTTCCAAATCAGCCTGGCCAACATGGAGAAACCCCATCTCCTAAAAATACAAAAATTAGCTGGGTGTAGTGGCACTTGCTTGTAATGCCAGCTACTTGGAGGCTGAGGTAGGAGAATCACTTGAAACTGGGAGGCGGAGGTTGCAGTGAGCCGAGATTGTGCCACTGCATTCCAGCCTGGGTGACAGTCGAGATTCTGTCTCAAAAATAATAATAATAAATAAATAATAAATGTATTTAAAAGAGCCTGTGCATGGTGGTTCACACCTGTAATCCCACCACTTCGAGAGGTTGAGGGCTGGGCGTGGTGGCTCATGCCTGTAATCCCAGCACCTTGGGAGGCCAAGGCAGGCAGATCACGAGGTCAAGAGATCAAGACCATCCTGGCTAACACGGTGAAACCCCATCTCTACTAAAAATACAAAAAGGCCGGGCGCGGTGGCTCAAGCCTGTAATCCCAGCACTTTGGGAGGCCGAGACGGGCGGATCACGAGGTCAGGAGATCAAGACCATCCTGGCTAACACGGTGAAACCCCGTCTCTACTAAAAATACAAAAAACTAGCCGGGCGAGGTGGCGGGCGCCTGTAGTCCCAGCTACTCCGGAGGCTGAGGCAGGAGAATGGCGTAAACCCGGGAGGCGGAGCTTGCAGTGAGCGATCACGAGGTCAAGAGATCAAGACCATCCTGGCTAACACGGTGAAACCCCATCCCTACTAAAAATAGCAAAGAGGCCGGGCGCGGTGGCTCAAGCCTGTAATCCCAGCACTTTGGGAGGCCGAGACGGGCGGATCACGAGGTCAGGAGATCAAGACCATCCTGGCTAACACGGTGAAACCCCGTCTCTACTAAAAATACAAAAACTAGCCGGGCGAGGTGGCGGGCGCCTGTAGTCCCAGCTACTCCGGAGGCTGAGGCAGGAGACCGGCGAACTGGGAGGCGGAGGCCAGTGAGCTGAGATCCGCCACTGCAGTCCAGCCTGGCGACGGAGCGAGACTCCGTCTCAAAAAAAAAAAAAAAAAGGAAAGAATGAGTGGCAGGTGGCGGGCACCTGTAGTCCCAGCTACTCGGGAGGCTGAGGCAGGAGACTGGGGGACGATCCCGCGAGAGGCGGAGCTTGCAGTGAGCCAAGATCATGACACTGCACTTCCAGCCTGGGCGACAGAGGAGACTTATCTCAAAAAAAAAAAAAATGAAAAAACAAAAACAAAAGAAAAAAGAGGTCGAGGTGGGTGAATCACAATGTCAGGAATTCGAGACCAGCCTGACCAACATGGTGAAAACCCCATCTCTACTAAAAATACAAAAATTAGCCAGGCATAGTGGTGCACACCTGTAATCCCAGCTACTCAGGAGGCTGAGGCAGGAGAATTGCTTGAACCTGGGAGGCAGAGGCTGCAGTGACCCGAGATCATGCCACTGTACTCCAGCCTGGGCGACAGAGTGAGACTGTCTCAAAAAAAAAAAAAATTATTTAAAATAATTTAATGTAAATAATGGAGTCAGCTGGCCCTGGTGGCTCATGCCTGTAATCCCATCACTTTGGGAGGCCGAGGTGGGTGGATCACTTGAGGTCAGGAGTTCAAGACCAGCCTGGGCAACATGGAGAAACCTGTCTTTACTAAAAATACAAAAATTAGGTGGGTGTGTTTGCGCGTACCAGTAGTCCCAGCTACTCGGAAGAGTGAGGGAGGAGAATCACTTGAACCCGGAAGGTGAAGGTTGCAGTGAGCCGAGATCATGCCACTGCACTCCAGCCTGGGTGACAGAGTGAGACTCTGTCTCATAAATAAATAAATAATGGGCCGGGCAGCGGTGGCTCACGCCTATAATCCCAGCACTTTGGGAGGCCAAGGCAGGCAGATCACCTGATGTCAGGAATTCGAGACCAGCCTGGCCAACATGGTGAAACCCTGTCTCTACTAAAAATACAAAAATTACCCAGGTGTGGTAGCAGGTGCCTGTAATCCCAGCTATTCAGGAGGCTGAGGCAGGAGAATCGCTTGAACCTGGGAAGCGGAGGTTGCAGTGAGCAAAGATCGCGCCATTGCACTCCAGCCTGGGGGACAAGAAAGGAGACTTCGTCTTAAAAATAAATAAATAAATAATAATAATAATGGAGTCAGGGGTTTCACTGTGATGCCCAGGCTGTTCTTGAACTCCTGAGTTCAAATAATTCTTATGCCTTGGCCTCCCAAAATGCTAGGATTACAGGTGTGAGACACCTCACCTGACCAAGTAGCATTTTCATAAAATATTTATTTATTTATTTGTTTTTAAGACGGAGTCTCACTCTCTGTGCCTGGCTGGAATGCAGTGGCTCTACCTTGGCTCACTGCAACCTCTGCCTCTCAGGTTCAAGAGATTCTCCTGCCTCAGCCTCCAAGTAGCTGGGATTACAAGCATGTACCACCACACAAGCTAAGTTTTGTATTTTTAGTAGAGATGGAGTTTTACCATGTTGGCCAGGCTGGTCTTGAACTTCTGACCTTAAATGATCTGCCCACCTTGACCTCCCAAAGTGCTAGGATTACAGGCATGAGCCACCACACCCAGCCCTACATTTTTTTTTTTTTTTCCCTGTCTCTCCACTGTATTTTGGAAAGCATTTTCTTATCAGTATATCTCACTATTTCAGACACTCTGCAACATGTAAATTGAACATTTTTCATATGGCTATTTGAAATTTTTTTTTCATGGCTCCAAAAATAGATGTCAGGAAATATGGTCTTTTTGTGGATTTCCTTTTGTGAATTACCACTGGGTGCTCCTATTTGTGGGCCACATCCGAGAGATGGATGACATCTACCTTATCTGGTCAGTCATCTCTGTAACCTCCCTACCAAGAACTAATTGGTCTTTAAATCTCCTCAATGCAATGCATTCTCCACTCTAAAGTTTGTTTCATCACTTACAACCCTTCAATAGTGTCCAATGGTCTTAAATTTTTTGTTTGTTTTGAAACGGTGTTTTTGCTCTTGTCGCCCAGGCTGGAGTGCAATGGTGCAATCTCAGCTCACCACAATCTCCGCCTAATGGGTTCAAGTGATTCTCCTGCCTCAGCCTCCCTAGTAGCTGGAATTATAAGTGCGTGCCACCACACCTGGCTAATTTTTGTATTTTTAATAGAGACGAATTTCACCATGTTGGCCAGGCTGGTCTCAAACTCCTGACCTTACGTGATCCACCCGCCTCAGCCTCCCAAAGTGCTGGGATTACAGGTGTGAGCCACCGTGCCCGGGGTCTGAAGTATTTAGTACAAAATCTTTAGTCTGATTTGGAAAATCCTTCAGCCTCCTGTATGGTTTCCAGTATCGAACAGCTTTAGTCAAGTCTCCAATTTAAGGCTTACCTGATCACAACACAGATTAACACAACTCTCTGGTAGCTTCTATTTTACCCTTGGCCTTAAATTCAGAAGCCATAACTGTCTCGTTAAATACTGACTCAAGCCTCATCTCCGGCCATGGCTCACATATATACTGAATAACAACATTGAAATGTAAAATGGAAAAGTAAAGTTGTCCTTACCGGGCGAGGTGGCTCATGCCTGTAATCCCAGCATTTTGGGAGGTCAAGGCAGGCAGATCACCTGAGGTCAGGAGTTCGAGACCAGCCTGGCTAACACGATGAAACCCCATTTCTACTAAAAAATACAAAAAATTAGCCAGGGCCTTGTGGCACGGGCCTGTAATGCCAGCTACTCGAGAGGCTGAGGCAGGAGAATGCCTTGAATCTAGGAGGCGGAGGTTGCAGGGAGGCGAGATCGCGACATTGCACTTCAGCTTGTGCAACAAGAGCGAAACTCTGCCTCAAAAAAAAAACCAAAGGGTTGTCCTTTACTCCTATTATGTTCCCTTCCCAGAAATAATTGCTGTTGTCATCTCCTCGCAATATCTTTTCAGTATTCTACTTACTTGCTCATTCAACAAATGTTGAACACCTACTATGTGTTCTTGTTACTGAGCATGGAGAACCAAATAAAACTAAAAGCTCTGCATTCAACAAGCTCATCTTTCTTCTTCTTTTTTTTTTTTTTTTTTTTTTTTGAGATGGAGTCTTGCTGTGTCACCAGGCTGGAGTTCAGTGACGCGATCTCGGCTCACTGCAGCCTCCGCCTCCAGGGTTCAAGCAATTCTCCTGCCTCAGCCTCCCGAGTAGCTATGACTACCAGTGCATGCCACTACACCCGGCTCATTTTTTGTATTTTTTAGTAGAGACGGGGTTTCACCATGTTTGCCAGGATGGTCTCAAACTCCAGACCTTGTGATCCGCCCACCTTGACCTCTCAAAGTGCTAGAATTACAGGCATGAGCTACCGTGCCCGGCCAACAAGCTCATCTGCTCATCTTTGTAGAGAGGCAAACAGAAGAAAAAACAAGTAACATATGGTATGGAAGATGGTGTGAGTAATATAGAGAAAAACTAATCAGAGAATGGGAACAAGGAGTGTGGGAGAAAGGGTGCTTGCTTTCTGAATACAGAATTCTACGAAGGCCTTGAGGATGAGTAGCTTTGAAGAGTAACCTGAAGAAGGGAAGGGATAAAATGATTTTATTTGGAGGAAGAGTTTTTTTGGCAGAGCAAATAGCAAATGCAAAGGCTTAAGCTGGGACCAGGCTTGGCTTGTTTACTGAAAAGCTAGGGGATGGGGCACTGTTGAATGAAGGGAAGCACTGGTAGAAGTCAGAAAGGTGGCAAGGGTGCCAGGTACAGTGGCTCACACCTGTAATCCCAACATTTTGGGAGGCCGAGGCAGGCAATCATCTGAGGTTGGGAGTTCGAGACCAGCCTGGCCAACATGGAGAGACTCCCATCTCTAGTAAAAATACAAAATTAGACGGATGTGGTGGCCCATGCCTGTAATCCCAGTTACTCTGGAGGATGAGGCAGGAGAATTGCTTGAATCCGGGAAGCAGAGGTTATGGTGAGTTGGGATCGTGCCGTTGCACTCCAGCCTGGGCAACATGAGTGAAACCCCGTCTCAAAAAAAGAAAAAAAAAAAAAAATGGTGGCAGGGGACCAAATCCTACAGGACATTTTAAACCCTTGTGAGGTCCTCAGCTTTTACGTTGAGGGAGGAAGCCATTCAAATTTCCAGCCAGAGAATGCTATGATCTGATGATCTGATTTACGATTTTTCCTTTTTTTTTTTTTTCTTTTTAGATAGAGTCTCTCTCTGTCGCCAGGCTGCAATGTAATGGTGGGGGCGTGATCTCAGCTCACTGCAACTTCTGCCTGCGGGTTCAAGCAATTCTCTTGCCTCAGCCTCCCTAGTAGCTGGGATTACAGGCGCACGCCACCACGCTCAGCTAATTTTTGTATTTTTAGTACAGACGGGATTTCACCATGTTGGCCTGAATGGTCTCAATCTCCTGACCTTGTGATCTGCCCACCTCGGCGTCCCAAAGTGCTGGGATTACAGGCGTGAGCCACTGGACCCAGCCTACATTTTTTTCTTTTTTCTTTGGAGACAGAGTCTTACTATTGCCCAAGCTGGTGTGCAGTGATGTAATGTCAGCTCATAGCTCACTGCAACCTCTGCCCCCGGGTTGAAGTGATTCTCATTCCTCAGCCTCCCAAGAAGCTGGGACTACAAGGCTCACACCACCACGCCCAGCTAATTTCTGTATTTTTAGTAGAGATGAGGTTTCACCATGTTGGTCAGGCTGGTCTCGAACTTCTGACTTCAGGTAATCTGCCCGCCTCAGACTCCCAAAGTGCTCAGATTTCAGATTACAGGCATGAGCCGCCGCTCCAGGCACCTTTTCTTTTTTTTTTCAAGATGGAGTTTTGCTCTTGTCACCCAGGGTGGAGTGCAGTGACGTGATCTCGGCTCACCGAAACCTCCGCCTCCCAAGTTCAAGCGATTCTCTTGCCTCAGCTTCCTGGGTAGCTGGGATTACAGGCATGCGTCACCACGTCCAGCTAATTTTTGTATTTATGGTGGATACAGAGTTTCACCATGTTGGCCAGGCTGTTCTCAAACTCCTGACCTCAGGTGATCAGCCTGCCTCAGCCTCCCAAAGTACTGGGATTATAGGCATGAGCCACCACATCTGGCCTTTTTTTTTTTTTTTTTTTTTTGAGATGCAGGGTCATTCTATCACCCAGGCTGGAGTACAGTGGCATGATCTCAGTTCACTGCAGCCTCCACCGCCCGGTTTCAAGGGATTATCCTACCTTAGCCTTCCGAGTAGCTGGGATTATAAGCGTTTGCCACCACGCCCAGCTAATTTTTGTATTTATAGTAAAGACAAGGTTTCACCATGTTGGCCAGGGTGGTCTCGAACTTCTGACCTTACGTGATCCACTCGCCTCGGCCTCCCAAAATTTGGGGATTACAGGTGTGAGCCACCACACCTGGCCCTGATTTACATTTTTCAAGGACCAGTCTTTCTGCTATGTTGGAAATAAATTTTGGGGTGGGATGGACGAAAACAGAAGCAGATTGAGTTATGAGATAAACATATCAGTTGAGAGATGATGATGGTAAGAAGTGGCAGTTGTCTGGATATATTTTAAAGAAAGAAAAGCAAGATTTTCTGACAGATTCAGTTGAGCTATGAGAAAGGGAAGAAGTCGAAGACAGCACCAAGGTTTTTGACTCAAAACGCTGGGCAGATGGAGTCGGCTTTACTAAGACCGAGAGGCCTGAGAGTGGATCAGCGTTTGAAGGGAATAAACTGAGTTTGGGAATTTTAAGTTCAATTCACATAACTTATTAGACATCCAAGCAGAGATACTGAATCAGGAGTTTGACAGACAAGCCTGGAAATAAACATTTGAAAGTAATCTCCCTTTTGGGCAGTATTAAAAACCGTGAGATTGGATGACCTGGATTAGAGCTACATGTAAAGGAGCTAAGAGGTGAAGGGATTTAACCTTGAATGTGCTTGAAAAAGCATAGGGTCAGAAAGCAGTAGCGGAAAGAGGAGCAACAAAGAAAACTTTGAAAGAGCAGCTGTTGACTTTGAGCAAGCCCCAGGAAAGGATGGTGCTCAGGAAGTGGGAGAAGAAACTTTTTCCCTGTGGAGAGAGATCCTGATACTTCAGAAGCCCCTGATCCTTCAAGTAAGTAAGATGGGGACAGGCCGGGCACAGTGGCTCACACCTGAAATCTCAGCACTTTGGGAGGCCAAGGGGGGCAGATTGCTTGAGCTCAGGAGTTGACCATCCTGGCCAAGATGATGAAACCCCGTCTCCACCAAAAATATAACAATTAGCCGGGCTTGGTGAGGCACGCCTGTAGTCCCAGCTATTCAGGAGGCTGAGGCAAGAGAATCCTTTGAGCCCAGAAGGCAGAGGTTGTGGTGAGCTGAGATTGAGCCACTGCACTCCAGTCTGGACTTCAGAGTGAGACTCTGTCTCAAAGAAACAAAACAAAACAAACAAACAAAACAAAACAAACCCACTATCCCACCACCATGATACCCTTAGAAGAAAATGGGAATTGGAAATTGGCCATTTGATTTCTTTTCTCTCTTTTTTTGTTCTTTTTTTTTGTGTTTTTTTCTTGAGTCACAGTCTTGTTCTGTTGCCCAGGCTGGAGTGCAGTGGCATAATCTCGACTAACTGCGACATCCCCCTCCTGGGGTTCAAAAGAGCACATCTGACTAACTTTTTGTATGTTTGTATTTTTAGTAGAGACAGGGTTTTACCATGTTGGCTAGGCTGGTCCTGAACTCCTGACCTCAAGTGGTCCTCCCACTTCGGCCTCCCAAAGTGCTGCGATTACAGAAGTGACCCTCCACGCCTGGCCTTTGTTTTGTTGTTGTTTGTTTGTTTTGAGACTGAGTCTTGCTCTGTTGCCCAGGCTGGAGCACAGTGGGGCGATCTCGGCTCACTGCAACTTTCGCCTCCCGGGTTCAAGCGATTCTCCTGCCTCAACCTCTCACGTAGCTGGGACTACAGGCGTGCGCCACCAAGCCTAGTTAATTTTTGTATTTTTAGTAGAGACAGGATTTCGCCATGTTGGCCAAGCTGGTCTCAAACTCCTGGCCTCAGGTGATTCACCTGCCTTGGCCTACCAAAATGCTGGGATTACAGGCAGGAACCACTGTGCCTGGTGGCCATTTTAATTTTTTGCAATGTCAAGGTCATTAATGTCTGACTCTGAAGAGGAATGTGTGGAAGTGGATGTGAAAGCCTGATTGGAGAATATTCAAGAGAGAATGAGGGGAGAAAAATCACCAACAGGCAAAGAACACAGAGAACTCTTTAAAATCTTCTTACACTTGATCACATTCTGTAAAAGAAATTGAGAAGAGGAGTGGTAGCAATAGAAGGGTGTGGGTTACAAGAGGGAATTTTTTTTCCTTTAACAAAAGAAAACTTGTGGCCTGGTGCGGTGGCTCACGCCTGTAATCCCAGCACTTTGGAATGCCAAGGCAGACAGATCACTCAAGCTGACGATTTCGAGACCAACGACAGCACAGTTTACTGCCACACCACCTCACCCACCGCCGTCTCTTAAAAATACATAAATTATTTTTTTTAAAGAAAGTTTATAACAATTAACAGACACTCCGAATTTTATCCCACCCTAATCTCTGATAATCACTAATTTACTTTCTGTCTCTATAGATTTGCCTATGCTGGACATTTTATATAAGCAGAATCATACAATATATGACTTTTTGCATTTTGACTTCTTTCATTTAATTTGTTTTCCTTTTTCTTTTTTTTTTTTTTTCCAGTGTGGCAGGGTCTTGCTCTGTCACCTAGGTGGGAGTGCAGTGTTGTGATCAGGACTCACTGTAGCCTCAACCTCCTGGGCTCAAGTGATCCTCTCACCTCATTTTTTTATTTTTTGAGGGGAAGAGAGCTCACTATGTTGCCCAGGCTGGTTTCGAACTCCTGGGCTCAAGCAATCCACCCGCCTCGGCCTCCCAAAGTGCTGGGATTACAGGCATGAGTCCCCACACCCGGGCCCCACTTAGCTTGTTTTTGATTTTCATCCATGTTGAGCATGAATCAGTATTTTATTTCTTTTTTGTGACTGATAGTGTACTGTATGGATATAATACATTTTGTTTAAAGGGTGCAATTGCTGTGTCATATGGTAACTGTTTAAATTTTAGAGGAACAGTCTTTTCTGCCTCTATTGAGATGATTGCATTTTTTTTCCTTTATTCATATGATGTATTACATTGATTTTCCTATTTTGAACTAATCACACATTTCTAGAATAAATCCTACTTGGTTATGGTGCATAATCCTTTTCCTATGTTGCTGGATTTTGGATTGCTAGCATTTCGTTGAAGTTTTTGCCTCCATATTCATAAGGGACATTAATCTATAGTTTTTTTCGGGGGATATCTATCTGGTTTGAGTATCAGTGGTCTTTAATGTGGCAACTTGGGTAGGCGATAGACCCCAGTTATTCAATCAAACACTAGGTGCTACTGGCATATTTATTTATTTATTTTCTTTTGAGACAGAGTCTTGCTGTGTTACCCAGGCTGGAGTGCAGTGGCGGGGCTGGGATTACAGGCATGAGCCATCACCACGCCAGGCCTTGCTACTGGCATTTTTAGATGTGATTAAAATCCGTATTAATTGTCTTTGAGTAAAAGGGATTATAATTTGAGAAAGCCTAATGCAATCAGTTAAGGCTTTAAGAGGAAATTCTGCCTAGGCAGAGCAGCTTCATCTCACACTGAAGGGTTCCAGCCATCTTTTTCGACTTGCCAAGACAGTTCCAAGATTGCATAAGCCAATTCCCTACAGTGAATTTCATCTTCTTTTTTTTTTTTTTTTTTTTTTTTTTTTGAGACAGTCTGGCTCTGTTGCCCAGGCTGGAGAGCAATGGCACGATCTTGGCTCACTGCAACCTCCACCCACCAGGTTCAAGCAATTCTCCTGCCTCAGCCTCCCAAGTAGATGGGATTACAGGTGCCTTCCACCATGCCTGGCTAATTTTTTTTTTTTGAGATGGGGTCTTGCTCTGTCGCCAGGCTGGAGTGCAGTGGCACAATCTCAGCTCACTGCAACCTCTGCCTCCTTGGTTCAAACAATTCTCTTGCCTCAGCCTCCCAAGTAACTGGGACTACAGGTACACGCCATCACGCCCAGCTAATTTTTGTATTTTTAGTAGAGACGGGGTTTCACCATATTAACCAGGCTGGTCTCGATCTCCTGACTTTGTGATCCACCCGCCTCAGCCTCCCAAAGTGCTGGGATTACAGGCATGAGCCACCGCCTCCCGGGTTAAAGCGATTCTGCTGCCTCAGCCCCCCGAGTAGCTGGGACTACAGGCGCATGCCACCATGCCCAGCTAGTTTTTGTATTTTTAGTAGAGATGGGTTTTCACCATTTTGGCCAAGATGGTCTCAATCTCCCGACATCGTGATCCGCCCGCCTCAGCCTCCCAAAGTGCTGGGATTACAGGCGTAAGCCACCGCACCTGGCCTCAAATTCACTTTTTCCTTGCTCTGTGTTTTTCACCAATGTACAACATTGCTAACTTAGAAAAATCAAACATAGTCTCACATGGAAGATTGTTGACTATGCTCTGAAAGTCAAATTTGGCTGCAGCTTTATTTTATTACACAGGTTTTTTAATACAGAAACGACCAGCTATGTCTTAGGATCAAAATCCAGAACAATCAACTGGAAATTACAGTGAAGATGAACAAAACGGAAAGCAGAAATGGAGAGAAGGAGGAAGAGAAGCAGGCAGAAAGAGAGAACGAGAAAAAGAAGAAAATGAGAAGGAGCTGGAAGATGAACAGGAAAAAAGGAAGAGGGAAAATGAGAAACACAAACAGTATCCCGAGAAACGATTAGTCAGCAAATCCCTCATGGACACTCTCTGGGCAAAGTTTAAGTTAAACAGGTGCCCCATAATACAAGAGAGTCTCTCACTCTCGTTTGAATTTGACATGACACATAAACAGGTATGACGACATTAATAGACACTTCTTCATTGATAGACAGAGTCACTTGTATGGTGCTATTACTCACATAGACCGATATTTTTATTACTGTATTAATCACCTCTCACACCTCATTTTTTGCAGATAAGTCAATGGTTTTGTAAAAAGAGAAAGAAATATAATAAAGAAATGTCCAAGAGAAAGCATAAGAAAAAACATACGAGGTAAGAACGTGTTTCTTGTAAAATAAAAGGAAGTAGAAGGAATAGATTGACTTCCGGAGATGGTTTGCGTTTCCATCATTATTGGGTATGCCCATAAACTTTTTCTTCTTTTCTTCTTTTCTTTTTTTAGAGATGGAGTTTCGCTCCTGTTACCCAGGCTTCTTTTCTTTTTTAGAGATGGAGTTTCGCTCCTGTTACCCAGGCTGGAGTGCAATGGCACCATCTCGGCTCACCACACCTCTGCCTCCCAGGTTCAAGCCATTCTCCTGCCTCAGCCTCAAAGTAGCTGGGATTACAGGCATACCACCACGCCTAGCTAATTTTGTATTTTAGCAGAGATAGGTTCACCCATGCTGGTCAGGCTGGTCTTGAACTAATGACCTCGTGATCCGCCCCTGCCTCGGCCTCTGGGCGCTGGGATTACAGGCATGAGCCACTGTGCTCACAACTTTTTTCTTTCTTTCTTTTTTAGAGATGGAGTTTCGCCCTGTTACCCAGGCTGGAGTGCAATGGCTCTTATCTCGGCTCACCACCTCTGCCTCCAGGTTCAAGCCATTCTCCTGCCTCAGCCTCAGTAGCTGGGATTGCAGGCATGCGCCACCACCATGCCCGGCTATTTTTGTATTTTTAGTAGAGACAGGGTTTCTCCATGCTGGCCAGGCTGGTCTCGAACTCCTCACCTCAGGTGATGCACCTGCCTTGGCCTCCCAAAGTGCTGGGATTGATGGCGTGAGCCACCACGCCGCTCACTTAGAGTCCTTTCAAGAGCAATTTGATAAATGGGACAAAGAGGGTATGAAGACAAGAAGATGACACCAATGACATGACAGAATGACAGATATAATAAGTTAGAGGTCAAATAAGAGTATGGAAAATGATTGATAAAGGAACTTCAGATCATAATTATCTGCCATACTACCTGTCACCTCCCCAGATTTCATTAAAGATTTTGATATTGAAATGGCTTTCATAATTCATATGAGAAACCGTCTGACATCCACCTAAGTCTTAGAGTTCTTGAACTTTGTGAGGCTCACTGACCTTCACCCCTTTACAGCCAACATCTAGACCTTGTTATCTGGTATATCTCCCACCAGAAATCTCCAATGCCAAAATTCCCTTCCTAACTTTTCTCTGTTATTTTGGCTATTTCCATACTCAGTGCCACCTTATAAGAGGAAGCTTAGGCTTTGATACCACCGCTTGTTCTGATTCAGTAGGACCCTTCTGGCCTCATTCAGTTCTCTCTAAAGTCTGGACTAGGTGACAATAACCTGAATCATTATCTCACCACCTCGATTCCTCCATTTCTGTTGCCCATTTGTCTCTTTTGTACACTCATCAATGTTACAGCTTGTGAGTATCCAAATACTCCCATACCACAGTGTGGTTGGTAAACTTCAGTTTTTTAAAATCAGAGGCTAGCACAGTGGCTCCTGACTGTAATCCCAGCACTTTGGGAGGCCGAGGCATGAGGCCAGGAGTTCAAGGTCAGCCTGGCCAACATGGTGAAACCCCCGCCCCACGGCAACACAAAAATTAGCCGGGCATGCTGGCCTCACACCTGTAGTCGAACTACTCGGGATGCGAGGCAGGAGAATCACTTGAATCCAGAAGGCGGAGGTTGCAGTGAGCTGAGATTGCACCACTGCACTCTAGCCTGGGCAACAGAGTGAGACTCAGTCTCAAAAAAAAAAAAAAAAAAAAAAAAAGCCGGGCGTGGTGGCTTCAGGTCTGTAGACCCCAGCAGGGACTTTGGGAGGCTGATGGGGGATGGATCATGAGGTCAAGAGATCGAGACCATCCTGGCCAACATGTGAAACCCCATCTCTACTAAAAATACAAAAATTGGCCGGGCGCGTGCCTCACACCCAATCCCAGCACTTTGGGAGGCGAGGTGGGCGGATCATGAGGTCAGAGACGAGACCATCCTGGCTAACACAGGTGAAACTGCCTCACACGCTAAAAATACAAAAAATTAGTCGGGCGTGGTGGTGGGTGCCTGCAGTCCCAGCTACTCAGGAGGCTGAGGCAGGAGAATGGCGTGAACCCCGGGAGGTGGAGCTTGCAGTGAACCGAGATTGTGCCACTGCACTCCAGCCTGGGCAACAAAGCGAGACTCTGTCTCAAAAAAAAAAAAAAAAAGATTAGCTGGGTGTGGTGGCGCCTGCTCAGCAGAGGTTGCAGTGAGCTTGCATTGGGTCACTGCACTCCACCCTGGCAACCAGAGCAGAAACCCACACCCAAAAAAAAGTAGAAATAAAAATGTGCTGGTCGGGCGCGGTGGCTCACGCCTGTAATCCCAGCACTTTGGGAGGCTGGTGGATCACGAGGTCAAGAGATCGAGACCATCCTGGCTAACACAGTGAAACCCCATCTCTACTAAAAATACAAAAAACTAGCCAGGCGAGGTGGCGGGCTACTGTCTCGGGCAAAGGCTTGTAGTCGGGCGCCTGTAGTCCCAGCTACTCGGGAGCCTGAGGCAGGAGAACGGCGTGAACCTGGGAGGCGGAGCTTGCAGTGAGCTGAGATCCGGCCACTGCACTCCAGCCTGGGCCACAGAGCGAGACTCCATCTCCAAAAAAAAAAAAAAAAAAAGAGCCGGGTGTGGGTGACTCACGCCTGTAATCCTAGCACTTTGGGAGGCCGAAGCGGTGGATCACTGAGGTCAGTTTGAGACCAGCCAGGCCAACATGGTGAAACCCTGTCTCTACTAAAAATACAAAATTATTCGGCATGGTGGCACATGCCTGTAATCCCAGCTATTCTGGAGGCTGATGCAGGAGAATCGCTGGGAACCTAGGAGGTGGAGGTTGCAGTGAGCCAAGATTGCCCCACTGTACTCCAACCTGGGTGATACAGTGAGACTCCATCTCAAAATAAAATAAGATAAATAAAAATCAGAAAAGAAAGACAAAATAAAGCTTATTATTATTATTATTATTATTTTTTCATTTGAGACAGGGTCTCACTCTGTACCTGAGGCTGGAGTGCAGTGACACAATCATGGCTCACTGCAGCCTTGACCTCCCAGGCTCAAACAATCCTCCCACCTCAGCCTCCTGAGTAGCTGGGACCACAGGCACATGCCACCTCATCTGGCTAATTTTTGTATTTTTTGGAGAGATGGGGTTTTGCCATGTAGCCCAGACTGGTCTCAAACTCCTGGATTCAAATTATCTGCCCGCTTTGGCCTCCCAAAGCGCTAGGATTACATGCGTGAGCCACCATGCCCGGCCTCAAATCGGGTATTCTTGTTGACTATGTTGATGCCTCAGGGATGAGATGGAGTCAAAGATGAGGTCAGGGTTTCCATTACGCATATTTGATAATTCAAAATAGTAGTTTTGTATTAAAGGCTCTTTTAGGCCAGGCACGGTGGCGCATGCCTTTAATCCCAGTATTTTGGGAGGCCAAGGCAGGAAGATCGCTTGAGGCCAGGAGTTTGAGACCAGCCTGGGCAACTAGTGAGACCCAGTCTCTCCAAAAACAAGTAATCCAGCCGTAGTGATGCATGTCTGTGGTCCCCAGTACTTGGGAGGCTGAGGTGGGAGGATCGCTTGAGCCTGAGAGGTGGAGGCTACAGTTGGCCCTGATTTCACCACCACTGCACTCTAGCCTGGGTGACAGAGCAAGACCCTGTCTCAAAAATACATACATAAATAGGCCAGACACCGGTGGCTCACACCTGTAATCCCAGCACTTTGGAGGCTGAGGTGGGCGAATCACAAGGTCAAGAGTTCAAGACCAGCCTGGCCAACATGATGAAATGCCATCTCTACTAAAAATACAAAAAATTGGCTGGGCATAGTGGCGGGCGCCTGTAATCCTAGCTACTCGAGAGGCTGAGGCAGGAGAATCACTTGAACCTGGGAGGCAGAGGTTGCAGTGAGCCGAGTGCCGTGCACTCCAGCCTGGGTGACAGTGCAAGACTCCATCTCAAAAAAAATAAAAAGAAAAATACATACATACATAAATAAAATCCTTAGATGTGGAATTATAGAGTTAAAGCATACAATTTTTTAAAAATAATTTTCCATGTAGCACTATAAAATGGATTTCACAACTTATTCTCTTACTAATAATATGTGAAATTGTTTTTTACTGTATCATAATTCTAATAATCATTGACTATATCAGCTAAGTTTCTTGAAAGAAGACCTTTTGTCTACCAGATGTCCCCAACAAGTAGACAGTAGATTTGGCTATATCAAAATCACCTGAGAAGTTTAAAAAAACAAACAACTACAACAAAAAACTTCCTCTCACTCACAGGTGGGAATTGAACAATGAGAACACTTGGACACAGGAAGGGGAACATCACACACTGGGGCCTGTTGTGGAGGTCGGGGGAGGGTGGAGGGATAGCATTAGGAGATACACTTAATGTAAATGACAAGTTAACGGGTGCAGCACATCACATGGCACATGTATACGTATATAACAAACCTGCACGTTGTGCACATGTACCCTATAACTTAAAGTATAATTAAAAAACAAAAAACAAACCAAAAAAACTTCCCCAATTGATGATGATGTGTAACCAAGGTAGGAACCACAAATTTACATTCACAATCCCTGCTTTCTCACATCTTGTTTACTTAAATCCATTGAAAGCTAACATTGGGCTGGGCGCAGTGGCTCACGCCTGTAATCCCAGCACTTTGGGAGACCCAGGCAGTGGATCACGAGGTCAGGAGTTCAAGACCAGCCTGGCCAACATAGTGAAACCCTGTCTCTACTAAAAATACAAAAATTAGCCGGGCATGGTGGTACGTGCCTGTAGTCCCAGCTATTCAGGAGGCTGAGGCAGGAGAATCACTTGAAACCGGGAGGCAGAGGTTGCAGTGAGCCAAGATCGCACCACTGTACTCCAGTCTGGGCAACAGAGTGAGACTTTGTCTCAAAAAAAAAAAAAAAAAAAAGGAAAGCTAACATTGACTGCAGCTTTGTACTGAAACTGTGTTCTGGCAAAGGTAATCAATGAATCAATGACTTTTATATTGCCAAATCCAATTGACACTTTTCCGTCCTTAACTTTCCAGCTCACTCTCTCTGGTATTCCCATTCCAGTTTTTCAATCTATCTTTCACCTTCCACTCCCTATGACAGAAGTTTATGTTCTGTTATCTAACATGACAATTCC